GCTCATCTAATCTTTGATAAAGGTGCAAGTAATGTGAAGTGGAGTAAGGAAAGCCTCTTTAATAAATTGTGTTGGCATCACTGGACGGCTACATGCAAAAAAATGGGCTCAGAACTCTGCCTAACACCATGTACAAAAGTAAGATCAAAATGGATTAAAGACCTCAACATCAGACCAGAAACCATAAGGTACATTGAAGATAAATTTGGCAAAACCCTCCATGACATTGAAGCTAATGGTATCTTCAAAGATGCCACGCCACTGGCCGAGCAAGTGAAAACAGAGATAGATAAATGGGACTATCTTAAACTAAGAAGCTTCTGCACCTCAAAAGAAAAAGTGACCAAAATACAAAGACAGTCTACAGAATGGGAAAGGATATTCACCGAATACACATCTGACAAGGGGTTGATATCCAGGATATACAAAATACTGGTTAAACTCCACAAGAAGAAAACATCCAACCCCATCCAAAAATGGGGCAATGAAATGAACAGAAACTTTCTCAAAGAAGAAATCCGAATGGCAAAAAAGCACATGAAAAAATGCTCTACATCATTAATCATCAGGGAGATGCAGATCAAAACCACAATGAGATACCATCTCACACCTCAGAGACTGGCCCACATTCAAAAGAACAAAAGCAACCGATGCTGGCGTGGATGTGGCGAGAAAGGGACACTCCTTCACTGTTGGTGGGAATGTCCACTGGTTCAGCCCTTCTGGAAAACAGTATGGAAGATTCTCAAAAAATTAGAAATTGAGCTCTCATTTGACCCAGCAATACCACTCCTGGGAATATATCCCAGAGAGGCAAAAATGTATAGTCGAAGTGACATCTGCACTTGTTTGTTCATTGCAGCACTCTTTACAATAGCCAGAAACTGGAAGAAACCTGAATGCCCAAGAACAGATGACTGGTTAAAGAAACTTTGGTACATCTACACAATGGAGTACTATGTAGCTCTTAGAAAAGATGAAGTCATGAAATTTACATACAAGTGGTACAATATGGAAAGTATCATGCTAAGCGAAATGAGTCAGAAAGAGAGGGATAGACATAGAAAGATTGCATTCATCTGGGGGATATAAAGTAACAAAGTATGAGATTAATACCCAAGAATAGCTGAGATCAGCACCAGGAGGATTACTCCATAACTTAGAGGCCAGCCGGGTATCCTAGAGGAAAGGGCTGTTCAGATAGAGAAGGGAGCACCAAATAAAGGATGTTTGGAGGATCCTCCCACGAGGGGAGATGCATGTAGAAAGTAGACTATGGACTGAACATGTTTGCCACTCAATGCCTCTTTTGCAGACCACAACACCCAAACGGAGAGAGAGAACACAGGGGATTGCCCTGCCACAGAGACATGGGGGATGGGGGGATGGGGGTGGGAGGGATATTATCCATGGTGGTGGATAATGGGCACTGGTGGAGGGATGGGTATCTGATCATTGTATAATTGAAACCAAAGCACAAAAAATTGTAAATCTACAACTTTAAAAAAAATAAAATAAAATAAAGGCAAAAAAATTGTAAATCTACAACTGTACCTCATGGTGTTTCACTAATAATAAAAAAAAATTTAAAAAAAACCACAGACTTATACCTTTGGAGATAAAATGGATGGATTGTGAACTGACTATGCTAAATGAGTCAGCAAGTTCAAGATAATTTCACTCATGTGTGAAATGTGAATTACTAAGGAAAACTGGCAAAAAAAGATCAAATAAAAAACGAAACAGCAACAAAACCAACAATAAAACAAAACAAAACAAAAACAACAAAACTAATTCTTGGATGTTGAAATTGAAGTTGAAACTTCCATTATTTCTCATAATGAAAATCATGGTGGCTACTAGTGTAAACAACTAACAAGGTCGGGTGGGATGGGAGATATGAGTTGAGAGTCTTTTTGATAGTAGGTGTGGCTGTAGCATCAATAGTGGGAAGGTGAAACTGATACATAATATTTTAAACCAGGGAAATATAAATTGAAAGGTGGTGGCTTATGTTTTGTAGTTTACCCCTCACCTCTTCACTCTCTATCCAAATCCTTGTCCACATCCTAAGCCTCTGGTTCATTTGTTTTCCAGTTGAAGAGAGGACCATTTGGCTTGGTCTCACCTGGCCCATTTGTACTGGAAGCTGAGTTTTTCCACTTAGGCCTGGTCTCTTTCCCCAGCCACCATGGCTCAGTTGCTTCTCTGTCTCTTGACCTAAACTCCTTTGTCACTTCTATAGGCTCCTGTCTACATCCTAAGCCTTTGGATCAGCTGTTGTTTAGGTTAGAAAATCCATCCACCTGTTTCCCCACACAGGCCTCTTGGAGCATGGATTGGGCCCATAACTCCACTTGCTCCTGCTTGTATCCTAGCTGCACAATCACTATGGGGCCAGGCAAAGTTCTACTCTCATCATACCTCACAATCAAGTGTCCTGCAGTGACTTCTCAGACTTTCTCTGGTTTCCTCCAGGGACTTCATGGTATTAAGGCCTTATTCCTTGCTCTGTCCACATACTACACAGAAAAGCCTTCATAAGGCAGTGATGTTCAGTACTCATGGAGCCCTAATCATAGTCAGAGGAGAGGCACAGCCAAGATGGCATTGAAAGTAGTTGCCTAGTACACATGAGGCATCAAAACTCACAAATCAGAAAGAGCAAAAGTTACTGGGGGAGGAATACCAGGAAAGGAAAAGAGTGATATTTAGCCTAATCCATCAGAGAGCTCCCATGGGACGAACTTTAAACATTAACCCTTAGAGCACTGCAGATACAGTGGAGAAGCAACATCGAAGCTCACCAGCCTCAACGAGTGAAGATAATGGCAAAGAAGGCTTTACTAGCACCAGCCACGTCTATGACCTCTTAGATTATTACTTTAGAGACACCATAATGAGAATGCTTATTAAGCTCAAAGAAACAATGTCACAGGTAGTGAGTAAAGCACAAGAAAGTATGACAGCAGAAATGAGAAAACTATAATCAGACATGACATAACTGATAGGTATGGTGGTCACTAGTGGTCATGGTCCTTCTGTTGTTCATTGATTTGCTCGAGCAGGCCAAGTAATGTCTCCATCATGAGACTCGTTGTTACTGTGTTTGGCATATCAAATACGTCACAGGGAGCTTGCCAGGCTCTGCTGTGCAGGCGAGGTACGCTCGGTAGCTTGCCGGGCTCTCTGAGAGGGATGGAGGAATAGCACTTGGGTCGACCATGTTGGCCGCTTGTAAGACAAAACGCCCTACTGCTGTGCGAAAGGGCTAAGCAACAGAATAACAGAAGTTGAAGAAAATAATTGATGAGTTTCAAGATGAAATTCAGGAAACCTCTAGAAAACTCTAAAAGATGAGGGAAAGTCTGAAAATTAGTGAACAGCACACCAGAAATCTACTGGATAAGCTCAAGAGTAACAATAAAAGAAGCAAAGCAGCCCAGGAGGAACAGGAAAGTGAATTTGACAAAGAAATCATAAATAAGAATTTCCCAGATTTGAGGAATGCCTGCACCCAGGGCTGCGAAAACTGATCAGTCACGTAAAAAAAAAAAGAGAGAAGAGAAAGGAAAAGAAAAAACTCAGAGCATGCACAAAAGTGAATTGAAAATGGTTTTAAGAACTTGATATTAGAAACAGCCACAGAGAGAGAAGAAGGACCACATGGAGGGCTGGCTCCACAGCTCCCGGAGAAGACACCAGGTTCCAAAAAGAGTCGAGATCACCGGGAAGTCCCAGAGGGGTAGGTGCCGCATTCTGCCTCCCCCAGATGGAACCCCGGTGACCAGAAGCCTCTACAAGCATAGCGCGAGTATGCGGGAACTAGGACTTTTCCTCCAAACCGTGCGGCCGCTTATGCGGTACTCATCTCTGTATATACAAAGTGATCAATGGGAAGTAAATCACCCAACGTTTCTCCCTGAAAATCAGAGTTAAGTTTGGAGCACGGCCACAGCCCCAGAAGCACAAGGACTTAATGCAGAACCCAGCAGCTTGGAGCAGAAAAGTGAACGGACTATGTGTTAATCCAGGCCATCATGTCTGCCTGGAGGGGAAAGGGTGTTGCCCCATTCGCCCTCTCCTCTCTGGAAAGAAAGATGGCGGCCGCATGGGAGCCTTGTGGAGAGCAGGTGTGAGCTGGGGGTGTGGGGGCGACTAAAACCTCATGGGAAGAGGGGTGTTCTGGTCCATCCTTCACGCCCTACCGAGGCCACCAGTTGCCCCCCACAAGCGGCTCTCCAGCATGGCCACGACTCCAGAGCACAGAAACCAATCTCTTAATTATCTGACTCTCAGTAGAAATACTTCCAGGGTTAATTAACAAAATAGCGGAAATCCAAAACCAACATTTAATTCTTGAACCCAGTTGTAGAAAGCGAATCACTTCACAATGCTTTCTCAGCATGTCTGATTTGGGGGGAGGGGGTAAACTCTAAATAATAGTGGTGCATCTTTTATTGAAACAATGAATCTAATCAAAGCAGATAGAGTGTCAACTAGAATTCATCTGCCTCGCAGGCATCGGGAGGGGTGGCAGGTGGGGTTTTATTGGGGTTCTTCGTGGTAAAAAATAAGTATTGGTAAAGGGAAAGGTGTTTGATATATGCATGACTGAGACCTAAACCTGAAAGCTTTGTAACTTTTCCCACAGTGATTCAATCAATAAATAAATTATTTAAAATAAAAAAGAAAAAATTTTAAAAAAAGAACTTGATATTAGAAATAAATCCATGAGTTATAAAGGAAATTATTGGCAGAAACCTTCAAGGCATTGAAGCTAAAGTATTTTTAATGATTCAATACCATTGTTCAAGAACAATGAAGCAATCCCATAAACAGATGGGACTACATCAAATTTAGAAGATTCTACAGCACAAGAACAATGATGGCTAAAATAAAAGGCACCCTACACACTTGGAGAAAGTATTTTCCTACCACTGACTTGTAAAGGTTTAATATCCAAAATATATAAGGCATTTGTAAAACTTAACAAGAAAGGTGATGATGAGCCCTGGTGATTCTTGAGTGTCTTACTGAGGCCATTACTGCACTATGCTGACCATACCCCTGCCAATTGAGATACCTGGTACCTGGAGTATGGGAAAAAAGAGCTCGAATTCTTCATTAATTTATTCCTTTGTAATTTCTTTATAGGTATTTATGGCAACTTCTAGATTGTGACTGAACACAGGATTTTTCTGCCATAAAGGAAGTCTTCTCTGTGGTGATTTTCTACCTGTAAATAATGGATTTTGGGGCAAAAATAATACCACTCAGACAGTTATCACTTCATTTAAAAATAAGTACTTATATCCAGGAGGTGTTTATAAAATCCAATAAAATAAATTAAACTTAACAAGAAAAAGAACCCCATCAAAAATAGGACATGAATATGGACAGAAACTTTTTCAAAGAATATTTATATATATAAATATTTACATATATACACATATACACACGTATCTATAAGATGGCTCATAGATATATAAAAATGCTTGGCCTCACTTAACAGAGAAATAAAGCAACAAAGAGATATCATCTCACACCTGTGAGATCAGTATATATCAAAAAGATCAAAACCAACCAGTGTTAATGTGGATATGGGTAAAAAAGAAACCCTCCACTCACTCCTGGTGGAAATGTCAACCTGATCAACTTTTTTTGAAAAATAATATGGACATTTTTCAGAATACTAAAGAATTGAGCTTCCATATGATCTAGTAATCCTGCTTTTTGGTATCTACTCCAAGAGTTCCAAAACTCCATTAAACAACAACAACAACAACAACAACAACAACAGCAACTGTGCTCCTATGTTCATTGTAGCACTTCACAATAAGCCAAATCTAGATATAGCCCAAGTATCCAAGAACAGCAGATAATTGGATAAACTATAAAATAAATATATAATGGAATACTACTGGGATTTAAGAAAAGATGAAATCATGCAGTTTGTTGCTACATGAATGGGTGGATCTGGAGAGTATTCTGCTGTATCAAGTCAGTATCAAGTCAGCTAGAAGTGAGATAGACACCGAATGATCTCTCTTATATGTGGGATATATAGAAACATAGTAAGGAAATAGCCAATGGCCAGAGAACCTGAGAACTGGTCTAGAGAAATCTGCTTACCAAGGTGTGAGGACTGGGGGTATAGGCTAAGTTGAGGTGGAATGGGTACTTAAGACAGTGGGGGAGGGAAATGGACCCTGGAGGAGGGTGTAGTGTTGGAACATTGTATACATAAAAGTCTATCATTAACAGTATTTGAACTCACAGTTGCATAAACTTAATAAAAAAAGCAAAGAATCAATTGAAAAAATGAAAGAAAAGACTATTTTAGATGGAAAGAACAGCATATGTGAAAATACAGATTTTGAAACTTTCTGGATTGTATGACTCTGTTTGGAGACACATCATGAGGCATATCTGGCCAGTGGAGACCATTTTGGAGGGCACCTATACCCACTTAGTCTGAATTGAATCTGGACCACAGAAAGGATGATTAAAAACAAGTGAAGAGAGAAGAGAACTTAGATAACGACCACTGTAGCCCATTTATCAGTAATTCCACAAATATTCCTTAAGCTATATTAAACTATATTTGGCCAGTTTACTATTTACCAAGTTATTTCTGTGAACACTGTATAGAATAAGACATGGTAGAAATATTGGTGACATAGAGACAGAGTGATACTCATACCTTTTATTTATTTTATTTTTTAAAAAATTTTTTATTAGTGAAACTCCATGTGGTACAGTTGTTGACCTTACAAATTTTTGTGCTTGGATTTCAGTTATACAATGATTGAATAACCATCCCTCCACCGAGGCCCATTCTCCACCTCCAATGTTCCCAGCATCCCTTCCACCCCCCAGCCCCCATCCCACCCCACCCCTGTGGCAGGGCATTTCTTTTTGTTCTCTCTCTCCTTTTGGGTGCTGTGGTTTGCAGAAGAGGCATTGAGTGGAAATCATATTAGGTCTATAGTTTATTTTTAGCATGCATCTCTCATCCTGGGAGGGTCCACCAGACACCCTTTACTTGGTGCTTCCCTATCCATCTGAGCTGCCTTCTCCCTCAGCATATGCGGCTGACCTCCAAGCCATGGAGTGAACCTTCTGGTACTTATCTCAGCCATTCTTGGGTGTTAGTCTCCCAATTTGTTACTTTATATTCCCCAGATGAATGCAATCTTTCTATGTCTGTCCCTCTCTTTCTGACTCATTTCGCTTACCATGATACTTTCTATGTAGTACCACTTGTATGTAAATTTCATGACTTCATCTTTCTAATAGTACTCCATAGTATAGATGTACCAAAGTTTCTTTAACTAGTCATCTGTTCTCAGGCACTCAGGGTTTTTTTTTCCAGATTTTGGCTATTGTAAAGAGTGCTGCAATGAACATAGAAGTGCAGATGTCATTTCGACAGTACATTTTTGGCTCTCTGGGATATATTCCCAGGAGTGGTATTGCTGGGTCAAATGGGAGCTCGATTTCTAATTTTTGGAGAATCGTCCAAACTGTTTTCCAAAAGGTTTTGAACCAGTTAACATTCCCACCAGCAGTGATGGTGGGTCCCTTTCTCACCACATTCATGCCAACATCGGTTGCTTTTGTTCTTTTGGATGTGGGCCAGTCTCTGTGGTGTGAGATGATATCTCATTGTTGTTTTGATCTGCATCTCCCTGATGATTAGTGATGTAGAGCATTTTCTCATGTGCCTTTTAGTCATTCAGATTTCTTCTTTGGGAAAGTTTCTCTTCATTTCATGACTCCATTTTTTGACGGGGTTAGATGTTTTCTTCTTGTAGAGTTCAATGAGTGCTTTGTATGTCCTTGATATCAACCCTTTATCAGATGGGTATTTGGGTAAATATCCTTTCCCATTTTGTAGATTGTCTTTGTATTCTGGTTATTGTATCTTTTGAGGTGCAGAAGCTTCTTAATTTAAGATAGTCCCTTTTTTATTTCTTATTTATTATTATTTATTATTTATTTATTTTGAATACTCATCCCTCCACCAGTGACCATTTCCCACCACCGTGGATCCCAGTATCCCTCACACCCCCCCACCCCCCACCCCCCCAATCCACCCTGTCTCTGTGGCAGGGCATTCCCTTTTGTTCTCTCTCTCCTATTGGGTGTTGTGGTTTGGATAAGAGTTAAGCCTGATTTTCAGGGAGAAATGTTGGATGATTTACTTTCCATTGATCACTTTGTATATAGGAAGCTGTGGAGCCCCCCCACCCCCGCAGCCTTTCTTCTCTGCAGCTGTGTGCTGTAAAGATGGCGCTGGGGGGCGAGTTGTGGGCATGACTTCGGAATCAGAGGTTACCTGGGAGCCGGGAAGTTCCCAGCAGTTTGGAGTAAAGGTCCTGATTCCCGCATACTCGAGCTATGCTTGTAGAGGCTCCTGGTCACTGGGATTCCATCTGGAGGAGGCAGGATGCGGCACCTACCCCATCTGGGACTTCCCGGTGATCTCAGCTCTTTTTGGGACCTGGTGCATTCTCCAGGAGCTGTGGAGCCCCCCTCCCCCCCACCCCCCGTGGCCTTTCTTCTCTGCGTTTGTGTGTTGTAAAGATGGCGCTGGGGGGTGGGACTTCCGGAATCAGAGGTTACCTGGGAGCCGGGAAGGTCCCGGCAGTTTGGAGTAAAGGTCCTGGTTCCCGCATACTCAAGCTATGCCTGTACTACAAAGTGGTAATAATTAAAACAGCATGGTACTCATACTTTTTAAAAAAAATTTTTTTATTAGTGAGACACCATGAGGTAGAGTGGTAGACTTACAAATTTTTTGTGCTTGGGTTTCAATTATACAATGATCAAATGCCCATTCCTCCACCAGTGCCCATTTCCCACCACCACGAGTCCCAGTATCCCTCCCACCCCCCATCCCCCTATCCCACCCTGCCTCTGTGGCAGGGCATTCTCTTTTGTTCTCTCTCTCCTCTTGGGTGTTGTGGTTTGCAAAAGAGGCATTGAGTGGTAATCATGTTTGGTCTATAGTGTACTTTCAGCATGCTTCTCCCATCCTGGGAGGATACTCCCAACATCCTTTATTTGGTGCTTTGTTCTCTATCTGAGCTCCCTTTTCCCCTAGCATGTGTGGTTAGCCCCAAGCCATGGAGCAAACCTCCTGGTACTAATCCAGGCCACTCTTGGGTGTTAGTCTCCTATTTTGTTACTTTATGTTCCCCAGATGAATGCAATCTTTCTATGTCTATCCCTCTCTTTCTGACTCATTTTGCTTAGCATGATACTTTCCAGTACTCATACATTTTATTTTTGAGAAAAAATGGCAGATTAAACATAAGCACTTAAAAATATCCTAAAACATCATTTCAAAAGTATGTAATCTTGAAAAGCAGAGAAATTATTGTAATAACAAGGAGAACATGAGTGCAGTTAACAACATGGAAGTTAAGAAATGAAACCTGAGTTAGCAGTGATAACGCACATAATTTCTGTCGAACATCTGGAAAATCAGGAAGTAACTGAATTTGTGCCCCAGATCCCACAGTGTCTCTATAACTGTGGTTTCAGGTGTCCTTGGAAGTGAGGTTAGACTTAAAATAAAACTAATTGAAAATCTAACTGGAAATGAAATTAGAAGTGACAATATGGATACTGACATTCTAGTGGTGGGTATGGTTTAGCAACATTGCACGCCTAAAGCACAGATATTAGCACTGTGAAGACATTCACACACCATGTTACTTCACTTTAAAAAGAAAATCAAGACTTGAAAAAAATAAGCCACACCCACTTCTTTTCATGATTGCAGCTGGCCAATCAGAAGTCTGGCAAACTATGTTTGTTCTCTAGAAAGGCTAAAAATGTAGGGATTCTGACTGGGGTAACACCAGACACAGTTGAAGGTGGAGTTTCCACTGCGACACAAGGTAATAAATTATAAATCACATAAATAACATTTTATAAATAGTATAAATACATTCATAAAATCATATTTATTAATCATATAATTTACATTACGTTACATAATTATATAATTGTATAAAACTGCCACTGCCCTCCCCTTGTTCATCGATTTG